TGGCGAGCGTCACGTTCTGGATCACGTTGCTGCCCGTGTACGTGATGTACACGCGCATTGTGAGCGTCACGGGCTGCTGGTCGATGCCGTACACCGCGTCAGCGTCTAAGAAACGGACCGCCTGAGTCCTACACGACGAGAACGACGGAGATGTGCCTTGGATGAAGCTCGAGTCGTCGTCGTGGGGCGAGTGGGGCGCATCAAAGATCGCGGGGACTTGCGCGCGCAAGAGAATTCGCTCCTTGGGCTCGGACCGGCGCTCTGCACACAAGGCGAAATGCAGATTCGAGCGGAGAGGAGAAAACACATACCGCCTTGGGAGCGCCGAATGATGTTGAGCAGCGTCCGATGCTCTTCGTCCATTTCTTCGTAGTTGATCTCTTTTGTGTCCGAGGCAGCGACGACCGACGTCGTCGGCGGGTCGGTCCCAAGGTAGCTCACACACAACCGCCCGTCCTCGTCCAAGCTCACAATCATGCCAGGGATGCCCCTAGATAACCTTTGTCGTATCGTCGAAATGTACATCGCGTACCCGAATTCCCCGACGCCAAGCGCCGTCGAGACGGTCGGGGCCACGGCCGACCAAACGAGATTGGCGGCTTTGTAGATCATCCACTGCTTGGCGTGCGTCGCCAAGAGGACGTTGGTCACTGGCGTGTCGTCGTCGTCTACCCAGATAAACGAATACGATGAGGCGAATGTGGTTTTTGCTACCGTTGGCCGGGTACAGTCGCAGCGCCGACGGGTGGAACCCAAGACGTTTCTGGAAGCAGACGTCGCCCGTCGGCCGGAGGCAAAAGAGAGTAAACTCGCAGAGCACGACGATGTCAAAGCTCTTGGCCGACGTTGATGGGGCAACGCGGCCGATCTGCAGGTCGAGAACGGGCTCGCCGACGTTGACGCGCCACTCGGCGTGGAGAGACTTGCTTCCGGTGGCTGGTTTCTCGTCCTTGACAGCCTTCTTGGAGGTGGCGAGAATCTGATATCGGTAGCACTCGACGTGCAAATCCGACGTGGCCGTCAAGATCGAGTCGATGCTTGGCGCGTAGCATACGGGGCCAGGCACGAGGCACGTCGGAAGCTGCTGTAAAAATGCAAACCGATCCTACGCACACCACATGTCTTTGCATGCGTCGTGGACGTTGGACGTACCTGTTCGAAGAATTGGAGACGGCCGTCGAGCGCCTGAACGCACAAATGGTCCTTCTCTACAGCATGTAATAGGATAAGATTTGTTGCAGAAAGCTAGCAGTTGCGTACCGCGCGCACCGCCAAACGGTCCATGCAGCATGTTGAAAGCCGTAAAGTGCTCGCCGTCCAACCCGAGGTGGTGCTCGTACTTTTTCGAGAGCTTAAAGTAGCTCGCAGCCATGCCGCTGTCGCCGACGCCTTCGAGCGTGAATAATTGAATTTATGTACCCTTGAGCACGGCGACCGCTTGCGCCGTCGTGTGCCTACGGTCGTTCAGCTCTCAGATGAGACACGCGGCGGCGTACGGAAGGAAGGCGCCGATCGCGACTTGCAGAATCGGGTGCTCGAGCTGCTCCTCAAGAAGAAGATGCTCGATCTTGAACTCCGTGCTCGTTGGGTAGTAGATCCGCAGGACGCCATGAAGACTGCCGACGACGATCTTGGCCCGCGCTTGGTCGCTGTCGTTGTCGACGTTGCCGATCGCGAGCGCCAAGAGCCGCGCGGGCGTCCACTGCATAGGAGAGACGCTACACCTCGGCGCTTGTGTGGCAAATGTCGAAATGCGAAGAGAACCATCCTGATTGGCGGAAATCCTGCAAAGTTCTCGTACGGGATTGGGTCTCACGCATTTGACAAGCTTCAACCTCGACCTGGGCCAAGATGGTTTTTGGCCTTCTCGAAGTTCTCCAAGGTACTCATGGCTACTGCACATCACATATCACATGCACACAGCTGCGGGCGTGGACATGCGCGAGGCCGGCGATGACACGCGCAAGACGCTCCAGCCTCGTCGACGCAGCCAAATCGCGTTGATAGCGCTACCAGGGATCCAGCCTCGTCGACGCAGCCAAATCGCGTTGATAGCGCTAACAGGGATGCGAGTGGGGCCCATTTCCGTTGTGAGTGAGTACGCACTCACTCACAACTCGCAAACGACAATAGTGAGTGCACTCAGCTACTTAGAGTTAACTCATGCCTATTCAGCGGTACAAATCTTGCGATTCTTCGATGGCGTGTTCTTGGCGGGGGCCAACGCCGCGGAATGAAGCGTATCAGCAATGTCGATAGCCGACTCAGTCTGCTGGCGTCGAGGTCGAAAAGAAGTTGATGAGAATAGCAGTGGCTTGCGACGTCTACGTCGTCGACCCGAGGGTTTTGGCGAGGGAGTTGTCATCTGAGCACATGCGGATGAACTTCTTGTTGAATGCCAGCACAAGAAACATCTCGAACTTTGCGTTGCCGAGTTTTTGTCACAACGGCGAGTCGATCAGCTCGCAGAGCGAGAAGACGCGCTCCTGGAGGGCGTTCGAGTCCGGACACGCGAGCTCACGAGCTGCAAGGCGCTCGACGAATCGATGGTGGCAGCCTTTTTTGCACCACCAGAGGTTGACGTCAAAAATCTTCGAGAGATGCACCCAGTTTCTGTGAGCAGCCTTCTCCTTCAAGTTGTCGAGAAGGTCACAACTTTGAACGCGCTCGAGGAAGTCGAGAAAGCTTCATGTGGCGGATCGCGTTCTATGAGCTCGACGCATGAAGTGCGACGCGACAATCGCGGAGTGGTAGCTTCGACTTGAGGAACACGTGGCACACGACGATTGACTAAGCGACTTCCTCGAGCTTACCAAAATGCTTCCAAACCCACGACGACTTGCCGGTAATTGCAATAAGCGTCGGGGTGGTCGTAGCGGTGCTGGTGTTGGACGACAGGGTGTAAATTCGAGGAATGAAACGGTGACGGCTCCTGCGCTGCTTTAGTATTTCCTTCCTCTCCCCCAGCCGTGCGTTGCCACGACAATTGGAAGCCAGTACGTTCCATAGAGTATATATGTGTGAAAAAGGATCCTCTGAGGGGGATCGAAGTGGGACCAACACACACTAACTCAACCCACTCACACACACTCACTCGGGCACCCCGCTGAGTGAATCGGCACTCACTCAGAGTGAGTGTACTCTGAGTGGGTCAAACCTATTTACGGCCCACTCACTCGCCATCCCTGAGCGCTACCGTCGAGGCGATCTCGTACGCAATCGTCGCGGTCTGCAATAGATGTACAATGACGCGAGCCTGTTGGCTGGTCAAAGGCGCCGATGACGGTCTTGGCGCGGACCAAATCTGACAGCAACGCCGACGTCTTGCGCGCTGTACGTACATGGCATCGCATTTGAGCCGATGCATGTGCCAATGCAAAATGAGTCGTCCGACGTCGGTCGCCGCGGCCGGGCCTCGCCGACAAAGAGCGCTCCTTTTCCGAGCCGGTCGCACACGATCGTAATGTGTTTCTTGAGCTTCTTCGTGTCCTGCTGCAGCGCTATTTCGGGCGCCATAATCTCTCTCGCTGGCGCCTTTGCCGACAGCGCCGACTTGAGCAGCTCTGTGATCGCAGCCTCGGTCACGTCTTCCCACCCCAAGTCGGCGTCGGCCACGATCGACGACAAGTGCGTCATCCATGCCTTCTCTGTGACGCAAGATCCAACACAATTGAAAGATGGTGGCGCTGCCAACATGGACTGTCGAAGCGCTGGCAGTGTACCGCGCGATGCACGGCGACTGCGACGTGCCGCCCAGTGCCGCCGGACTTCGTGACACCGCAAGGTTCGTAGCCCCTACGACACAATACTGCAACTCAACGAATCGTTTGATTAGCTGAAGGTTCGCAGCCCCTCGGCAAGGTCGTGAAGAGTGTGCGCGAGTCGCGCTCGGTCCTCGACGACGATGACGTCAACGTTCTGGACAGCCTCGGCTTCAACTGGACGTTCAAA